CGCTGCAGGCGTCCTTGCCGCTGCTTCTGGGAGCTGCTTGAGGTAAGCGCCGCCTGGATCCTGCACCCCTGAGCCCCCACCTGCGCCCAATCCCCTGCCCCACTCCTGATCCCCCTCCTGCCCTCCGAACCCCTCAGCCCCAGCCCCACCCCAGAGCCGGCACCCCCAGCTGGAGCCCTCACCCCCTCCCGTTCCCCAACCCCAGCCCCACTCCTGATCCCCCTCCCGCCCTCTGAACTCCTCGATCCCAGTCCGGAGCACCTCCTGCCCCCCGAAACCCTCATCCCCAGCCCTATCCCAAAGCCCTCACCCCCTCCTGCAGCCCAGCCCCTGCCCCAGCCAGGTGAATATGAGTGAGTGAGTGAGGGTGGGGAGAGCAAGCGACAGAGGGAGGGGACATGGAGTGAGTGGAGGGTGGGGCCTTGGAGAAGGGGTGGGGCAGGGGGTGGGGCAGTGGAGGAGGGCGGGGCAGGGGGCGGGGCAAGGGTGTTAGGTTTGGGCCACCCTACATAGGGTTGCATCCGTGACCATCTTGGCTAATAGCCATGGATGGACCTAGCCACAGGTGCTGACACTGTGGGTGCGCCGGGGCTGGAGCACCCACGGAAAAAAAAAAAGTGGGTGCTCAGCACCCATTGGCAGCCCTGCCGATCGGCGCCTCCCTCTCCCCCAGCGCCTCCCGCCTGCTGCAGAGCGGCTGTTCAGCGGCGTGCAGGAGGTGCTGGGGATGGGAAAGGGCGGAACGGGGTAGGAAGAGGCAGGGTGGGGGGTTGAGCACCCCCAGGGACATGAGAAAGTTGGCACCTCTGGGCCTATCTCCCAGGCACATATCTAGTTCTTTTCTGACCCCAGTTACCTTTCCCATCCCGCTAGGATCCCAAACCGAAATGTTTCTGAGGTTCACAGAAACAAAGTTGACTAATTTCCTCTGATTTTCATGCTTCCCCTGAGCCTGGAAGCCAAAGCGGGGCTGAAGCAACCACGGAAAAAATAGTCCAGTCTGAGGAAAAAACTTACTGAAGCATCTTGTTCCAACCGACTCCATCCCCACCCCGCCTCTTCCCGCCCCCACACCCTCTCTTCTCCCAAG